TGTTTAAATAGAGTAGTTTTAGTAAATAAATGTTTGTTTGTTCTTGGTTTTTTACTTATTTGTTATCAGATTCTTAAGAATTAATCAACTTAGCAAGCAAGATTTATTTTATTTTTTAGTGCAATTGGAAAGAGCTAAAGTGCTTTTTAGTTACTTCAAATCATTTGTTTTTATTTTTTAAATAGAAGGGTTAATAATAAAAATATTTAGACAGTCGAACTGTTACTGATTTGAGTAAGTTTAATTTTTTGTTTAATTTTATATTAGATATATATTTTATGTATTTAACATGAAAAACTGACTGTAATTTTTGACAGGTAAGTTTATATACTTAAATGTGCCTATATATCGGAATATTTTATATTTCTCTGAATCTATATGAATATTATCTCAGAAAAAATTAAGAATAGAAAAAATTGGAATATATATACATACATATATATTACTTTAGACTGACATTGCTTCATTTTTTATACAAGATTCTGCATTTATTATTTTTGTGCATTAAGATTGTGCCTGAAGGCTTTCTTAATTTAGCAAAGAATTTAGAACACAATGCAAATAACTTTGCACTGTGTTCTAAATTCTTTGCTAAATTAAAATAATGTAAATAAATTTTGTTTTATATTTTTCAGTTGTAAAAATATAAAACGTTCATTTATTCAGTTGTAACAGTAGCATAACCACTGGTAATATATATTTAATGATAACAGATTTATAATATTAGGCTCGAAGAAGTTATTAGTGTAAATGGTTATAGGTGACTTGAAATTGTTGTCATATGAAAGAAATAGATCTAGGCATGATAAAATTAATTGTCGTTGAAATATAAGAAATTTTGCTTGATGAACCAAAAACTTACTTGGCAGAATTCAGTGTCAAGCGCTGTTGATGTCTATTATTTGACTTTACATTAGACACTTTAAAATAAAGCAAAGTATGAATTTTACTATTTATAGTAACAAATAATAAAAATTTCAGTTTTGAATGATTTTTTTTTTTTTTTTTTTTTTTTTTTTTTTTACTTTTGTAATCTTAATATAATTGTTCATTTTTTTTTTAGTTGTCTTTGTCATCACTTGATTATTTTGCTTACTGTTGAAACATGGTTTTAATTTTGTAAATTTAATATGATGTGAAATTTACAATATTAATCATTTGTCAACAGTTAGAAGCTGGAAATAAATTAAGAAATGCTGGAAATTAACTTTTAGTTAAGGTAAAAATAATTTTGTTTATTGGTAGCATAATAAAACCAGTTACTGTTATTTATTGCATGACTTTTTTACTTTTTCTAACATGGTGTTTTTAAAACACTTCCTCTCTCTATTAGATGAGACTTAAATAAGAATTAGTATTGAGAATTGTAGAGAGAGAATTGATTGGGGGGTCGTATGGGTTGAATGGGCGGTCGTAACTAAAAACCTTTAAAAATATGGAGAATATTGTAGTTTTGCGCATTAATATCGAGTTACTTAAGTTTTATTTATGTGTTTAACTAATTAGTTAGCTTAGTCTGTGTTTGCAACACTTTTGAGGAAAGAAAGAAAACATTTTTATATAAGTAGATCATTGTTTTACATTTTAATATTTTATTTTATTCACCAGGCCACCATTAAAGCAAAAAGAGGGAAGGAACCTCTTTATTAGAGCCAAAATATTTAGAAAAATTAAATTTCGAGTTACAAAAGGAATTTTTAGTAAATGGTGGCAAATTACCGTTTACTAAAAATTTTATGAAATAAAGAGGCCAAATAAATAATATACAAATGGTCTGTGTTGAACAGACTTAACAAGACCCGGGTCGGGTCAGCTTGGTTTACAAATTTTTATGTCTACTTATCTCTTATAATTTTTATTTTAGTTTGTTCTATGGTGCATTTATGTAATAAAAAATTTGTTATACCTATGTTTGATCGTAAATTAAATTTTCTTTTGTTTGAAAGGTATTTGTACTCAGTTGCGTAGTATAATAAACTTTGTTATTTTTTATAAATTTATTTAAACGTGTGCATTTAATATTTTTAAGTTAACAATTTTCTTTTCTAAAGAACAATTAATCAAGGGGATAACAAAAAATTGATAACTCCTGTATAATATAAGTTAACTTCATTTTAATCTTAATGGTTCGTGTTATAAAAATTATTTTAAGGATTTAGTTGACACTTTCGTCAATTTAAAGTATAACCAAGTGTTATTATTTTGCGTCAGTAACTAAAAACGTATTGTGTTAAACTTAGGAAGGTCGATGAAAATGGTTCTGCCTTACACTGTTATGACCTGTGCCATTTGTAAATTACTTAATAATGTTAAGTAGTAGTTGGTAAATTATTTTACCTCCTCATAATTTTTATGTTAATTTTACAGATGGATTAATTTTTTCAAGCTGAAGGCAATTTTCTAAAAGGGTTAGTTAAGGTTTTGCATTTAGTTAAGGTTTTGCAAGATTAAATTGTGGAAAACAGCTACTATAAATTAATTATGTAACAGACCGACCAAAACCCGTATTACGGGTTGCCTTTTGCTAGTTATTATTATTATTATTATTATTTCATTTCGCCATTAGACACATTCTACAATGTTAACCTTACATTCACATAAATTTAAACAATTACAAGCTGACTGAGGAAAGTAGAAGACAAAATGTCTTATCATCAAGCCCCTTCGTGAAAATAGAAAAAATAAATAAAATTTTACAACTTCCAATAATATATAAAATAGTGAAATTAAAAAGTTTTAAAAATAATTTTTAAATTTGACAAAACTAAAAAGTTTGAAAATAATAAAAAATAATAAAAATATATATATATATATATATATATATATAAATATATATATATATATATATATATATATATATACATATATATATATATATATATATATATATATATATATATATATATATATATATATATATATATATATATATATATATATAAATATATATATATATATATATATATACATATATATATATATATATATATATATATATATATATATATATATATATATATATATATATATATATATATATATATATATATATATATATATATATAGTATCGGACAAAACAAGTGCAACCAAATAATGTCAATTTAGTTTCTTAATATAAAAGTGCTGCACATTTTCAATTTAGAGAAATAACTATGTAAATGTTTAGAGACAACGTTCTTCAAGTTTTATTCATCACAAAGTTCATTATTTGTACACGAAAATTAATAAATTTATCAAAAGTATTAAAAAAAGTTGGACAAAACAAGTGCAACTTCATAAAATGTTGACCAAGCTGTATTTCGCTATCAATATTTCGTGGCGAATCCTTTGTTGTTGATCACAGCCTTGCATCTTTGAGGCATAGATTCGATCAGGTGATCAATGAAACTTTGTGGAATTGCGGCCCAGGCCTTTTGGATTTATTCAAACAGTTGATCCTTATTACGAACATCTTAACGATTAATTCTGCGATTGACAATCTTCCACAAGTTCTCGATAGGAATGAGATCCGGAGATTGAGGCGGCCAATCCATCACCAATAGGTGGTTGTCTTGAAACCACTGCTTGACTACTTCTGCCGTGTGTTTCGGGTCGTTGTCTTGCTGAAAAATCCATTTTGTTGGCATATTCCATTCAGCATGAGATAACATAACATCTTTCAGGATTTTTTTATACATGAAACGGTCCATTACTCCATCGATTCGATGTATTGGACCTAGACCGTTAGTAGAAAAACACCTCCAGACCATTACATTGCCTCCACTATGCTTCACGGTCTTATGGCAGTAACGTAAATCGAGGCGTTTTCCGGCCAGTCGACGTATACAGCAAATGCCATCGCTCTTAATGTTATGAACTTCAATTCATCACTGAACAGGACAGTTCGTCATTTCTGCACATTCCAGTCAATATGAGATGAAGCAAACAGGAGTCTTTTCTTCTGGTTTTTTAGTGAAATCAGCAGTTTCTTTGCAGGGCGTCGAGAAAACAATCCGGCTTTAACAGCACGTCGTCTGATTGTTCGGTCCGATACAGGCAGCTCTAATAGCTTTTATATCTCGACTGATGATATCCAGGGATCCTTCTTGACGGATCTGACAATCATATCTTTTATTAATTATCTTTTTAATAAAAAACAGTTTGTTGTTCTGTAGGAGATAGAAGCTCTTGATATTGTTTGCGGAGTCCCACACGGATTTATCTTGAGACCTTTATTATTTTTAATATATATTAATGATATGAATAAATCTTCTCATACAGTCGTGTGCAGTAAAATAGTAGTGCGTATTTTATTTTTCTATCAGCAAACTTTGAACATCAAAATATATTTTGAAGGTTATTCGTATTTTTTTTTTAGACTGTGCAATAAATTAATAGTGAAAAATTAACTTTTGTGTAATAATTGCTGCACTTATTAAATTCTAATTATTATTAGTTCTTAATAATAAGCAATAAGGAAGTAATTAATTTTGATATTAGATAAATTTATACACTTACTAAAATTTTGAAATTTTAGAGAAACATGGGGCGCTCTAAACATTGTACTGAAGAAGTTTATATACATATATATATATATATATATATATATATATATATATATATATATATATATATATATATATATATATATATATATATATATATATATATATATATATATATATATATATATATATATATATATATATATATATATATATATATATATATATATATATGAAGACTCCACGGGAAGAAACGGCAGGGTCACATTTTGAAAATTTTGACATATTACACTTTTTAACTTTATAAACAATATTATTATACATTTTATTTGAATTAAAATCAAAAAAACAATTGGATGTACCTTTATAGTTTGATGGAACTTAATCCCTTTTTTTTATTATACAATACATACCTCCCCGAAAAGACAAGTGTTTATGAATTTAAATAATATTCGCAACTTACTAATAGACATAAACCAAGTTTACCATTTTTATTTTTTGAATTATCAAGACTCATACTTACGGCTATGAGTCTTTGTTTTTCAAAATAATCACAGGTGATTTGGTTAATGTAAATTAAATAATAAAAATGGCGATACTTGAAATACCAATAGAAATGCTAAAGAAATCCAAGAAAAGAAAAAGTAAGGAAAGATTGCGTGAAATTATAAAGAAACAAAGATTATCATCGCATAAAACAGGGCTTGGATGTAACTGTATAAGGCTGAAATGTTTTCATAATGTTAAAGAAGAAGATAGAAAAGTGTTAATAAGATATTTTAACTCTCTATCCAGCAAGGATGCTCAAGATTCGTATCTTGCAAGTTTAATAACTTTAAATAACGTTTTAAGAAGAAGACCACGAAACATTAATTCAAAAGGTTATAATAGCAGTTACACATATAGACTTTTTATTACAAATCACGAGATATTTGCGAGTTCGTTTGTTTATGTTTGTTTTTCTGCGTTTATTTCTATCTTTGGCATAAAGAAGGGAAGATTGGAGACCATTAAAAGAAGCCTTTTAACTACAGGTAAATTATATATTTTTATTGAATACAAAATGACTATTTTTAGTGGAAGTTATCTTATATATAAGTTTTTTTATATATAAATTTTTTTTTCTCATTATAGGTCACTCTCCCCATGATAAAAGAGGTAAACACAAGAATCAGTATAACAATTTTACTCCTCAACTAAAAAATAAAATATGTGATCACATTTCTTCTTTCAGAGGTAGAGAGTCCCACTACTCTCAAAAAAAAACTAGGCGACTATATCTTAAGAATTGAATATAACCAAGATGTATGACTTGTTTAAAATCAAGTATGCAAATGATCAATTTCATATGAATCTTATCGCAACATATTTAACACTAGTTTTAACATTTCTTTTGGGTACCCTAGGACTGACACATGTTCAAAATGTGATGAGTTTAAAATTAAAATTGATGCAATAAAAATTGAACTATCTTTTAATTCAGAATGTACAAAGCCTGAACAACAATTGCATGAGCTTGAGTTACTGAAAAAACAGCACCACAAAGATGCAAAAACATTTTATGCCAGGAAAAGAAATGCTCGGTTTAAGATGTTATATGATTTTTTTATAAAACATTTAGACAAAGAAATTCGATCTGTAGAGCTATTTTGTGATTCATGTGGTGGCCAAAACAAAAACTATACATAAATTCGTTTTATGGATTTTCTTGTGCATGAAAAAAAAAGGTTTGACTATATTAAAGTTACATTTCCAGAACGTGGTCATTCTTTTATGGGATGTGATAAAGATATGGGATTAATTAATTGCAAAACACCCACTAGTGATCCATCAGATTGGATTAAAACATTCAAAAATGCTCGTAAAAACCCCACTCCGTTTCATGTTATAGAATTAACGCAAGGTATGGTTAAAAGTATAACTGATTTTATGAGACCATTTTATAAGAATAAATGTCCAATTCCAACACGTCCTCTTCGTGAAATTTGTTTCAGAGGAGACTCAAGTGGCATTGTATTTCATCGTGATTCGTGGAATGGATTATTGTTGAAAACTAATTTAAAAAATAATAGGAAGAACACTATAAATAGTGAGATCCCCATTCTGTATAATGCAAAACTTTGCATCTCTGTGGCAAAGTACAGAGATTTACAAGTATTAAAAAGGTTTACATCGAATGCTCAGTTTTACGATTCTTTGCCATACAATCAGGAGGTTATTGAGACATTTCATGAAATTATTGATTCTGAAAATGAAGAGTAAATAGACTTCTTTTTTGATTTAAAGTTTGTTTTTAGTTATTTTTTTCTTAGTGTTTTTTGAAAAAATCTATAATCTTTAATGTTTCTTCTTTGCACTTAATATACAACAATTTATATAATTAATAATCCCAAGGTATTGAATATATCTTTTGACTATTACTCAGGGTATGAAAATAAAAATTCAGATCAAATAAATTCTGAGTTGTTTGAAAACCTATAAAGTTTTAAATCCCCTTTATTATCAGGAAAGAAACTTTGCATTAAATAACTTTTTGCTCACAGTTTTGTGACACCTATATAGGTATAGTTATATAGGTATTTAATAGGTTAACCTTTAAATAAAAAACAAATTGAACTTTTTTATCAACAGTGATATTTTTGAATGAAAGATTTATAATAAGAATTAAAGTCATTCGTAAACGAGAACTAGAACTAATACTATAATCATTTTCTATACAAAATATCTACAGACAACTCTTGATATCTCGAACCTGCAAGGGACCGATTAATTAGTTTGAGATTAAAGAATTTTTGAGTTATCGAGAGTATAATCCATAAATAAGGGTTCGACTGGATTCAAAAAAGTTTGAGATATCAAGTATTAAAGATATTGAGAGTTGACTGTAAGTGATATTTTTGTGCACGAAAAAAGAACAAAAATGAAACCTTTTGTTAACGAAAACTATAATTATTTTCTAAACGAATATATCAACACTGAACGGTATTTTTAATTTTAGTTCAACCCCCTAATCTTTTAAATGATCAATATTTGGTCTTGATGGTTAGGTTGTTTGATAAAATCAGCTTCTGCCTAATTTAATTTATAAGCTAATAAAAAATAATTCATACTTTAGCTTTTTACTTGATCTTAAAACTAATAAAATAAAATAAAACATTTTACCGGGGAAAAAACGGCAGAGTCCACAAAAAACCTCACTTAAAAAAGAAAGTATATCACGTAAATTTTTATTTTTAAATTAGAAATGCAACTTTAATTGCATAAAAAATTGGTTATTTTTGTAATATATCTTAAAAATTTTAATCTTTTCCCTAAAAATAAAAAAGTTATATAGGTTTAAAAGTTTAAAAATGAGTTATCGCAAAATGAGAAAATGTGACCCTGCCGTTTCTTCCCGTGGAGTCTTCATATATATATATATATATATATATATATATATATATATATATATATATATATATATATATATATATATATATATATATATATATATATATATATATATATATATATATATATATATATATATATATATATATATATATATATATATATATATGTATATATATATATATATATATATATATATATTTATATATATATATATATATATATTGTCAGCCGAGAACCAAGAGGTTGTATCGTCGTGTGCAGTAAAATAGTAGTGCGTATTTTATTTTTCTATCAATAAACTTTGAACATCAAAATATATTTTTCTATTGTTTGTTTTTTATCGTTATTGTTCATAAACTAAATGTTGCGATTATAATAGTATAAAAAAAATTAAAGAACGATAATTGCAGCACTGTATGGTTTTAAATTTCAATATTATCGATTAAAGGTCATTCGTATTTTTTTTTAGACTGTGTAATAAAATAGTAGTGAAAAATTAATTTTTGTCTAATAATTGCTATCCATATTAAATTCTAATTATTATTAGTTTTTAATAATAAGCTATAAGGAAGTAATTAATTTTGATATTAGATAAATTTATACATTTACTAAAATTTTGAAATTTTACAGAAACATGGGGCACTCTTAGCATTGTACTGAAGAAGTTCGTAATTTAATTATAAATCTTAAAAATCATGGTAAAACCTATAAACAAATACAAGAACTAGTTAGATGCTCACCAACAATGATTTGCAATGCTTTAAAATGGAAACTCAAACTAGAAAAACGTGGAAATAAAATATCAACTACCGCTATAGAAGATCGTCGAATTGTATCGTTAACGAAAAAGGAGCCATTTATTACTTCTAGAAAAATTAAACAAAGGCTAGAATTAAATGTTAATACCTAAACTATTTGAAGACGATTAAAACATGTTGATTTAAATGCAAGAACACCTAGAAAAAGTGCCACTTTTGAGTAAGAGACATATCGAAAATCGTTTAAAATTTGCACGTATGCATGCTTCTTAGCCTAAAGAAAAATGGCTAAATATTTTGTAAACTGATGAAAGCAAAGTTGAATTTTTTTGTTCCCATGTTTGTAAACAGTATGTTAGAAGACCAACGGGTGCAGCATATAAGCCATAATTTAAATTAAAGACCGTCAAACACGGAGGCTCAAAAACAATTATATGGGATTGTTTTTCTTACTATGGTGTTGGGCCTATACATCTCATAGAAGGTATCATGGATCGGTTTGTATATGTAAAAATACTTAAAGAGATCATGCTGCCTTATACTGAAGAAGAAATGCCGTTAAAATTTTTGTTCCAGCAGGATAATGATCCCAAACATACGAGCAAGTTAGCCAAATCGTGGTTTAATGAGAACAAAATTGATGTAATGGAGTGGCTAGCACAATCCCTCGACTTTAATCCGATTGAAAACTTGCGGATTGATGTTAAACAAGCAGTTTCTGAAAATAATCCAAGAGGTTATTAGCAATTGTGGGACGTAGTACAGTCAGAATGGCAGAATATATCTGTCGAACGATGTCAGAATCTTGTTAATTCCATGCAACAAAGATGCTTGGCGGTTATTACAAATAAAGATCATGCCACAAAATACTAATGTAGAGCTTCAATAAAATAATTTTTTTTGTAATAAAATTTAATTATTTTTTGACCTTTTTATAAAAAATGATTTTCACAACTATTTTATTGCACAGTCTAAAAAAAAATACGAATGACCTTCGATCGATAATATTAAAATTTAAAATCATACAGTGCTGCAATTATCTTTCTTAAATTTTTTTTTATACTATTATAATCACAACATTTAGTTTCGAAACAATGAACAGTGAACTAAAAAACAATGGTTTATAGCTAATAAGTTATCATTAAATTGTGAAAAAAAAAGTTTTACTCTCTTCCTTAAAATAAGACAATCAACTAATCTTCCTTTAAAGTTGCCAAAACTGTCAATCAATAAAAATCGAGTAAATCATACAAGGTTTTTGGGAGAAATATTTGATGAGAACCTATCATGGAAAAAAAATATTATTCTCATTGAAGCAAAAATATCTGTTGTTATAAGTATATTTTATAAATCTAGGGCCTTTCTTGATTACAAATCACGCAAAATGCCTTACTTCAGTCTTGTTCATTGTCATCTCTCTTACGCTAATATTATTCGGGCTAACACACACAAAACTAAATTAATAAGATTACAGAGCCTACAAAACCACGCATGTAAAGCTAATTATTTAAAGAGATTAGAAAACCCTTCCCCTGTAATGAAATACATGAATGTGTTAAATATATCAAAACTTAATTCGCTTTAAATAATAATATTCATGTATAACTTGCTTTTTTATGGAAAAATTATCAGGATGACGTAGAAATCTTATAGAATGGACGTTCATGGGTAAGTGTTCCAATTTTCAACTATCAAGCACAGAACTATGTTATTAAATCTTAGTTGGCCCAACTCAGGTTTTCCGCAAAACATGCAAAAACCAGAAAAGTGATCCTTAATCATTAAAAATATTTTAGCAATATTTATTTTTATTCCACCTAATGTATATATTTATTTAACAAGTAAAGATGGATCTTTTATATTTTTTTTTAATTGAAGATGAAATTATTTATAGAAAAAAGTTACTATTAAATTAAAGTTTGTGAATTTTTATACTTTTTATGTGGAAATACTTTTATTTTTGATAAACTTATGACGTCACGCTTGTTTTTATATCGAGTGAAACAGCCGTGCGTTAATTATAGAAATTTAAGATTTGTAAAAATGTTATAAGTGCTGGAGTATTAAACTAAGTATATTTATGCAAGAATTATATTTATGCAGAAAGTATATTTATGCAGAAAGTATATTTATGAAGGAAGTATATTTATGCAGAAAGTATATTTATGCAGAAAGTATATTTATGAAGGAAGTATATTTATGAAGGAAGTTTATTTATGCAGAAAGGGCTTTGTATATTGGAATGCAACTTGGAAGTCAAAATCAAATCAAAAATCAAGGGCTAATGGTTTATTTAAAAAAAAAACATCTAAGTGTCATCAAAAAAGGTTATATAAATATTGGAAAAAGAAATGGAAAAGGACTCACATATTAATGAAGGATTTTAATTGGCTCATACTTTCTTCAAACTTTTAGTTCTCAGGCTACTTTGACAGCAACTTACCGATTTTTTTTTTTCACAATAAATATTAAATAATCTTATGTATAGCTAAATAAGAATTAAAACTGTTGATATATTTCAAAACCTTATAGCAAAAAAAAAAAAAAAAAAAAAAAATTCTTCTTTTGAAAATTTTCATTTGTGATTAATTTTACAACCAATTTTTTTTCAGAAATAATAGTTATTGTAAAAACTTGAAAAAAATTTCAAATGCTCTTTTTAAACCATTGTTTAAAAACTCTGATTAACGTAAAAATAATAAATTCCTATAAATTTTTTGTTTTATTAAGACTCCTAAAAATTAACTAATCTAGAAATTTCAATTTAAAAATGTAGAAACAGTATTTTATTTGAAAAAGACAGTCTTTAAAAAACTACATTTCATCGGATTATAGTGTTTTCTAATGAAATACTTTTCATTGATAAATCAGCAAATATTTCAATTTTTTTAAGGACTTTTTTTTTTAACTACTGTTTCTATTTTTATTTCGTTGTTGTTTTATTCAATCTGAAAAGTTCATTTATATTAATTAAACTCTTTACCGGTTATACATTACAAATATATATTCATATATACAATTTTATATATACAATATATACATACAATATATTATATATATATATATATATATATATATATATATATATATATATATATATATCGTGACGTTAGAATTATATTTGTTCTATCTTCACTTTTTGAAAAAATTGAGTTATTGATAGTGTTATGCACCTCAGAACAACATTTTTCTATAAAGTTAGAGAAAATTATCTTCAGATTATTCCTAATAAAGTTATATAATATTCTTCTCAGAATAACATTTTTCTTTAAGTTTTTAATAAAAAAGTTGCGAAGAAAGCATAAGTTATAAAAATGTTTTAATGTCTTTTAAAGTTTTTATTTTTCAAATAATTTTATCTCAAAGCTCAAAAATGTGGAGATAATTCTAACGTCGCGATATATATGTGTATATATGCATGTAAATATGTATGTATGTATGTATGTATGTATGTATGTATGTATGTATGTATGTATGTATGTATATATATATATATATATATACATATATATATATATATATATATATATATATATATATATATATATATATATATATATATATATATATATATATATATATATATATATATATATATATATATATATATATATATATATATACGTATATATGTATGTATTAACATAAATATTTCTACTATTTACAAAACTTAAATCAAACATCTAGAATAATCAAATTAAATGGTTCTACAATTGAACCTTTCGTTTTTTCAGATAGCGAAAAATTTGAAGAGCTACTTGAAGAATACAATACCGTGGAATGATAAGACAGTGTTGAAGAAACTTCCCCAAAGTTGACAACTACACGAATCTTATTTTTGTACATTATTTCCATTGTTGAAGATGAAGATGTGCAATTAATCGCAGTTGGAAGCGTTTGAAATTCACTCCTTAAGGTTCGAAGCTCAATAAGTTTAAGAGTTTTATCTGAAATAAGATGTTATCAGATATATAAACATTCGATTGGCTAATTAAAAAAACTAGGCAAATTCAATAAAACCTAAATAATTACCGTCTAATTTATGGTTTTTTTCTTTGTTATAAACCAAAACTTTATTCGGCAAAACTAATGAAAACAGCACTTTCAGTCGGGTTAACTCAGGGTTTGAATGAGTAAGATTCTCGTAATCCAAGAAACTATTTACCCATCCTATACTAAATTTATTAAAATCAGTCACCATTTCTCCAATCGTACGATTCAAGCTTATCACATCGACGGGAATCGCTAATTGCGCTATTATGTCCGGAACAAAAAGATCAGCTATTTGATCGCTTGCGTTTTTCAAAAAGAAATGGGAACTAGAAGCCAACCATACCATCCCTAACTTTTCCTTGCTCACATGTTTGTATATGTTTTTTAAAACATTGAGTGATGTATCTTGGTCTACAAATATATATAAATAAATAAACTAAAGAAATAAGAAAACAAGAAAGTTGCAACAATGACTTACACGAGTATGCATGCCATAACTTTGTTTAATAACAACACGGATACTTTGTGTTTAAATGGATGATGTGTTAAATAAAAGTTATTACCTTTGTCAAATATGTCAGTATAACTATTGTTACGGAATTTATTGTCAACCGTTATTCGAGAAACATGTTTAAACAAAAATCCACTTGCTCCTAAATTTTTCCATTTGGTTAGCTTTTCTAAGAGAGCTTTTGTCACATTATCATTGTGATAATTCAGCATTGGACTATCTTGCCCGAAGTATGAATAATAAAAAGTATCGTTCATTTCGTACCATGCTGAGTTATTATTTTTGTTTCTCCAATTAGTAATTTCCTCTGGTTTTTTGACTATAAACCAACTTTCTTTTTCGTCAGCCGTTGAACTAATAAAATCTTTAAACCAACGACTTTCTAATGACACCGTGCAAGGATTAATAGAGAGCATAACAGCCATACTTTTATTATATGCTTCCTGAAAGAATTTTTTAAAATCATTCTCAGACCCTAATATTTGGTCTACGCCAAAATCTCGATTATTTACAACATCGTTTAATACTAAGGTAGAAATATCTAATGAATGGAAATAATCTAAATTAACCCCTTTAATATCCCCAACGCCATCGTTGTTTGAATCATTGTACGATTTTACGTCAATAATGTATGTAACATTGTTCGGATAACGAGATGAATTGGGTTTTTTACTGCAGCTACGTGTTGCAATTAAATAAATCGATAGACCCAACAGAGCAAGTAAAACAACAAAAAATACAACAAGGCAAAATATTCTGCAACCGCGGCATGATTTGAGTTCTTCTTTTGTTGGCTTTCGAAGTTCAATGCTTGCGATACTTCGTATGTCGTTTGTATCTACCGCTAAATCGCCATTCTTTTTTTTAGACATTTCTTTTTTACTCAGACTAAAATAGGAACAAAAATTATAATAAACAGATTTGTTTATTTGAAAAACATAATGTCTTATTAATAATAAGAACAAAATTTTAGGAAATTATTTTTGAAAAAAAATATATTGAATAACAAAAAAAATTAAAAATAAAAAAAATAAAAATAGAAATTTGAAAGAAAAAAGAAAGTAAAAGAAAAATTTTTTGCTTATCTTCTATCATTTATAAAAGATAAAAAAGCTCATTTATGCTAAAGTTATAAACAAAAAAAAAAATCCAGCTCTTGGAAAAAAATAAACTTTTTCTCGATATGACCTTTATAAGCACGGTGTACTTTACCGACTAACAAATTTTCCAAAAAAAAAAAAAAAAAAAAAAAAAGCACGCATTTAAATTATCTTGCAGAAAGCTTATTTAAATCTTTTTATTTTAAAGACATGTACAAAATATATATTAAATTTAAAAGATTTCATGACGTCATTTTTTTTAACAAAGAAATTTTATGTATTTGGTTACAATGACGTCATTTAAATAAATAATCCGAATAAAAAAATTTACTTATAGCTAATATTGAGTTTAAATATACAAAAATTAAATAAACTTTAATAAAAACATCTTTAAAAAGTAAAACGTTACTAAAGTACGTTACGTGTTGTCCGAAAATAAAGTTGGCATCTCCGTCATCAGTTGTTCATTAAAACGTCATCGGAATAGAACCTGACGAATCGGCTCTACGTCATTAAAATAGAATATTTGTCGTCATAGAATGTATAATACTCTACATTATAAAAATAGCACATTGTCATTATTAGGTATACTGTACTCTAAATTAAAAACGTCATTAAAATGACGATTTTTCATCATAGAGCGTATATTATACATTAAAAACGTCATTAAAATGAAATTTTAAAGATAAAACCACGAGTGACGACTTTAAATATTTCAGTAAAATGCATCTGCGTCTTCGTCATACGCATTGTGATCATAGTCTAAATAAAATAAAAATATAAATAAAAAATATCTACAATAAGCGTGAAAACTAAATACGAAGTAACTAACGTACCGTCAACTTCTTTAGCAAAAATTGAGGAAGCTGTTACAAGGTCTTCTGGCTCGTCGTCTTCTTCTTCTTCGCCAGCAAACTCTTCAAGAATTTCTTTTTTTTCTGTTTCATCGGATTTCACTTCCAACTATTAGAGATAATAAAGCAAGTTATCAACGAATTTCGAACCGATTCAACGTAATTGCATTAACAAGTACAGAACTGACTGTAGCATTAAAATAAAAAACTTTGCGATTATTTATGTCAGAAAACTACAATAATTTAGCAGCAAAAATATACTACTCAAGTTAACCATTCAAAATAAAAATGTATAGATTACACATAAATATAACAGTAAAACAATTTCTTCAAGTAAACAAAGCTTTAATTAAATCAAACAAACGCTCGCTAACATAAATAAAAAAGAACATTTAACTGTGCTTTTAAACGTTAAGAAAGAAGTAAGCTAAATTTTTGCGTACATAAAACCAATACTAAGTTAAAAAAAAAAATTGAATGTAGGCTCAGTTCACATTTTTTGTTTTAATATACGACAAAATTGCTTCCTTCCACAAAATCTTAAATTTGTTAAATATATTTTGTAGTATCGATCCCAAGAAAACAACCTGCAGCCTCTACGCGCTAATTAGCTTGAGATTTTACTATTTAACTGTTTCAATGAACATTCTGTTGATTCACATTAAATTTAATAAAAAGATATTTAATATTCATTTTTTAATAAAATATTCATTCGTTTATAAAAGCATAAAAATCGATTTAAAATTAGTTAAAAGTTTTACTTTCCTCAAAAAAAAATTTTTTTTTTTACCTTTATCCGTTTGCTTGCGCTGTGTATTGATTCAAGACTTGAAGTAAAACTAAATATACAAAATAAAATATAAAAAAAAAGAATATTTGTTAATAGAAATAAATATTAGAAAGAAAAACAGCTGATAAATCAAAAATAATAACCTAGTTTTGTTTCTTTGCAAACCAGTTTCGTAAACAATAGGCATATCTTTTGACAAAAGTCTTTTCTCACTGTCGGCGACAGCAGAAAGAAGCTGAGGTTTAATATCGAAGTTGTCACCAACGGAAATCGTTTCAGGTTTACTGACCTGATGACATTCGTCTACAGTTTCTGACTTAAGTCCCCGTAAGACATCGTAATTTATTTTTGAAGATATTTTTTTCTCTGCTAACATTGTTTGTATGGCCTCGTCGGCTGTACCAGCGATTGGTCGATCACGAGGTTTCTTTCTGGCTTTTTTTTTCTAAAATAAGTGGAAATAACTTTTTAATAATACGTTTTTAATAATACGTTTTTATGTATGTATATATATATATATATATATATATATATATATATATATATATATATATATATATATATTTATACATTGAAACGTATTATAAAAAAGTTATTTCCACTTCTTTTAAAAATTGAAATATACATAAATTATTTTATTAGTACTCGTTAAAAATAAAAGAAATGCAAACCATAAAATTAAGAAAAACATATATATATATATATATATATATATATATATATATATATATATATATATATATATATATATATATATATATATATATATATATATATATATATATATATATATATATTTATACATTGAAACGTATTATAAAAAGTTATTTCCACTTTTTTTTTAAATTGAAATATACATATATCTACTGATTTCCGGGGGATTGGCGCAGTCTAATTAATTACCACCAAGTTGATGACAAAGAGTTTTTAAATCAATCAGTATTTCATCAACTCGAACTTTTTATCTTGTTTTACTCAGTTGTGCAATCAATAACTATTGAAAAAAAAAATTCGTTAAACACCTTTAAATAGTATTTTACCGAGTTATTAAACTTTTTTCATAAGCTCCTTCTAATGCAATAGCATCACTAAGGTGTTTAAAAGTACTCCTGAATTACTTAGCATAACTAAAAAAAATTTAGTGTGAAGTATGACTTAGTAAACTAATAAAAATTAATTGGTAAACCAAAACTAATTTTAACTTTATAATTGCATTTGCGTGATAGATCTGTTATTTTTTTCATCATTTATAAGTAGAAAATTAGTATAAAGTAGATCTTGAAACAAAAATGATAATGAATTAATGGTTTTTATGATTAAATATCAGGTTTTACAATAAACTAACATTTTCTACAGTAAATTACAAAAGTAAGAGTCAGTAATTTACTGACTCTTACTTTTGTAAGAGTCAGTAAATTTTGTTCTTTTAATATAATGAAATGTTAACTTGACCTTTACGGTCAAGTGACCTAGAGGCCCAGCCATCAGTAACAAGCAAGTGGTAACAAGCAACTGTTGACGGCTGCCAACTTTTTGTTGACATTTTTTTAAATTATATTTAGTACAATGTCCATGACACTATCATAAAACGATAATAACTTGTACCTTGAAAAATTGATGGAATGCTTCACATTCACTTAAATTTTTAGAAGATAACAGAAAGCATATTTAAATTCTTTATTTTAAAGACATGTACAAATGCTAGACCGTTTCCTTGAAGCAAAACTCATCTATTATAATGAATGGACTGATAGACCTGGCATTGTAAGACATGAAGACCATGTCTGTCTCAAACTGCCTTACCAATTGGAGTACTTTCTAACAGTTGTTATTTACACTTTTATAAAATTTTTTTAATACTAACTGTGATGGTTTTAAGGAGGTCATGATACCACTAGTGAACCCATCAGTTAAATTTATTTGGATTAGAGACTTTTTAAATTCACCATACTAAACAATTGACCTTGGTGTTGTAGTTCTACAAGACTGTAATTGAAAAATTTAGCGCAATTTCAATGTTGATCAATAGAGAGAAAAAATCAATATTGTAACAATAATATGCTGCAAGTGGTAAAAAAGGTGTTATCTAATCTTAACAACTTGAGCTGAAAAGCTAAATACTTATGTTCTATTTAAATGCTTAAAAACAAACCCATTAAAATAATTATAGAAAAATAATTAAATTTTATTGTTTTATAAAGAAGAAAATATAAAGAAATAAATAAAGAAGATTTATAAACAAACCCATTAAAATAGTTAAAGAAAAATAATTAAATTTTATTGTTTTATAAAGAATAAGTTAAAGAAAAATAATTAAATTTTATTGTTTTATAAAGAAGAACAAAAATCTTTTTGACTACAAAATTTATTTATTTTTTATTTTTTTGTTTTAAATTTAAAAAAGAAAATTACTTATATATTTTTACAAGAAAATACTTAAAATAATTTCCTTTAGCAAAAAAAAAGTTCAAAAGAAGTTTTATTTTGTTTGTAAATGATACAAAACAGAATGAAATAAATTAATTTGATAAAAAAACAGTACAAACAAAATTTGTTAGCATCATCCATGCTTGGACATTCCTGTTGTTGTGGAATTATTTTACTCATGCTGACCGAGTAATTGCAATGTGACACAACAGCAGCAAAAAGTTGGCTATAATGTCTGCAGCCTATTTGATCAAATAAACCTGGGAAAAAACTATGAGTTATGAAAAATATGTAATAGTTCTTTATACATTAACAAGATAATATCAACCAAATATTTTTAGTTTCAATAAAACTGTTTCTTGTATGAACTGGCGAAGAATATTTTTTTTTTGTATGCTTTATCCTAAATCACTTTTGCTTCTTTTTTCAAAAAAATATTTGTATAGAAAAACACTTGTCTTAATCTAGCAAAGTCTATTGAAGTTAAACAATAAAAAGTTCCTAGGAAGTTCATAAAAAAAACCTTAAAATTTATAAACCAAACAAAAATTAACATAGCATTAAAAGCAAAGAAAGTAAGTCTTATGGCAAGAAAAGCAATAGGTTTAAAAAATTGCTTTAATTTCTCATACAACACTGTCACATTTAATGGTAACGATTGGAGAATTCTATTTTTATTTCTTTTTCAAAAAAAAAAAGTTAATGCCTATTGCATAAAAAAGTAAAAATTAAAATATTATAAAATATTAACAATATTTCTTTATATAATTTTGTTGTATTTCGTTTTATAATAATACTTTCCATTATTAAAAGGCACTTTGATGTTACTTAATTTATTGAGTTGAATTTAAATAGTTAATGACCCATAAACAAATAAAATACAAAAGATTTCTTATTTTTCATCCAAATTTTTTTAAGTTAAATAGAATTAAGGTTAAATAGAGTATTTAGAAAAATTTTCAAAATTTCTCTTTTGCTAAAACTAATAAAGGAAAATGAACAATCATACTTTCTTATTTCCTAGTTTGTTCTCCTCTTCTTCTTTCATTCGAAGATCTTCTTCTTTTTCTAAACACGTAGTTTGAGTATCAATAATATGTTATATATATAATAATAGATACATAATATTTACTAATAAATAAATATATAATTCTCAATAATGAATAAATATGTAATATATAATAACAAATATATTACACATAGTCATAAAGTTATGTCCAAATAATGCAATATAATTATATATAACTCATAAATATATTACAAAATTTTTTCAGAAAACTAATTGCAAACATAAAGAGTGAATAAAACTTCCTCGACATTGAAGGTATATACAAAAATCTGAAATGCCTATTTGAAAATATCTGGAAAACATATATGCAAAAATCAGAACTAAAATTTAACATAAATACAAACTTGCATAATTACAAACCTGCATAAGCGCAAACTTGCCTAAAAGTGAATCTATATAAATCCACTAAAATATTTTAATAAGACTGGCATTTGTGATGTGCACTAGCTAATAATGAATAAAAAAGTTGTTCGATATTCTTATTATAAAAAATAGGCTAAACAACCAATGTTAACTTTTTTCCCTTTTTTTTATCAGCATCAGTAGTATTGTATTACTATACTTGTAAATTCTTATTATATTATTTTTGCATGATATACACAGCCCATAAAATCCAAAGGACTTACTTAGTGTCATACTTAGCCAATGTCAGGTTGGAAAAATTTTGCTTTTGATTTTTGCATCCTGTTACAAAAAATTTAATGATTAATTTGTTATAAAAACATTGTTTTGTAAGAGCATAGCTGGAGACAAAAATACTTTAAAGAATGAAGCAATTAATGCAAGCATATAGTAAGTACACTTAATTACTTTACTAAGAATCACTAATTTATAAATTAATGATTCTTAGTTTTGAAGTTTAAAGTTGTTTTTAACAAACAAACAAAAATTTTCATTGGTTTTTTAGATTCACCCTAGAAAGATTGTTTAGAAATGCAAACATAGTTTACAAGCAGTAGGTGAAGATTTTGTTAATTGCAAATTGTTTTAAAAATAGGAAAGTATTAATAATTTGTTTAAAAGCCACAAAATTTAAACCCCCATTTTTCAATAATTTTTCTGCATATAACATATTTACAACTATGTTACATACGACTTGTTTTCTTTGTGAAACTTCATAGCATTTCTTATTTTAAATTGTTTTAATAAAAATTTAAATATTTTTAATTGTTTTAATATAAATTTTAATATTTTTAATTGTTTTAATAAAATTTTTAATATTTTTATATGTTTTAATAAATATTTCATTATTTTTAATTGATTTAAAAAAAACTTTAATATTATTGATTGTTTTAATAAAAATATATTTAATTTTCTATTTTTACTATTATTAGCTAGCAATTAGTATAACTATTATAGTATTAATATTTGAGAAAGAAAAATGTGAGAAACTTCAAAATGTCAGCAATCTGCGAGAAAAAATTTTCAAAACAATTTTGTATTATCAAAGTTTTTTGAGAATATACACCAAACAATCAAATATTACCTTTCATTTTTTGAAGATACTCTTTATTTTCTTCTAGCCAAATTTCAGTTTTAATTTTAATTTCATCCTCTGTCAATAGCAACTAAAAATAATTCAATATGCTGGTAAGATGAACATTGTATGTGCAAGCAGTTTCAAAATAAAATTTTAAGATGTAAAAAAATTTGTTTAACAAGTTAAAAATCAAAATAATAACTACAAAAAAAAAAAAAAAAACTACATTATACTTCCTCTATTTCTTCATCATCAATACCTTCCAAATCAATTTCATCGCAATTTATATCTCCTATGTTCTTCTCTGAATTAATACAATTTTTATTAATCTAACATAACATATCTAACACAAAAAATGCGTTAGTATTTTTAACAGATGTAAAAATATATTGACAAAAAATATTTTGCACTCACCAGACTTTGCCGATACTAGGTTGCACTCACCAGACTTTGTTGACATATCTTCTACTTTAGTCACACATTGATCTAGCAACAATGTGTTGCTTGCAACTGTCTTTACTTCTTCTTTTAAAATGTCATCTGGCTCTTCATGGATAACGAAATGCGGCACTTTAAACTCACCCTTTTCGTCTAACTCATACTTGTGTAATGAACAATAAGAAGGGAGTTGCTTTTGATATACGAATGCTTTTGACTCAGGCAACACTTTTTCAATTTCACTGTTAATGTTATGGCGTTTTTCTAATAAAACTTCTAGCCGACGTTGAGTTTTTACAACCTGTGATAAAAGGTAACTTGATACAAAATTATGCTTTTTGTCTATTTCTTGAGCAAACTGTATTCGTTTTTTGCCATAAGTATAACATGGAGGATCAGCCTCCTCCTCTAGATCGACTCTTTTGAACTCATCCGTTGTAAGTTTACCAGTAGCTGTTTTACTAAAGTCCATAAGTCGTTTAAAAACTGTTGTCTTGCTCATTCTGACCAACTTTACAATATCATCCATTGTAACATTAAAGTTGAAAAGCTTTCCAGCTATAATCAATGCTAGAAATAAAAATCTAACAACACTTTTATATTGAATAAAACTAATTAAAGGTAAATTATAAAAAAGAAAACTAACTTACTAGCTAAAAAAAATTTTTTTATTCTACTTACTAAAAAAATTTTTACTAAATAGTAAAAAAGTAAAAGCAACTGTTGCTTTTTTTATTTTTGAAAAAACAAGAAAAAAAAATTTAAGTTTTTCTTTTTTTCTTTTTCTTTTCTACTTTAAAAAAACACAATTAAGTCAACAAGTATTTAATTTTGAATTCTTTTTTTTTTATAATACTTAATTAGTATAAAAATCAATAACATAAGCAAATAATTGATTAAAAGGCAAATATTGGAAGGATGGAATCTTTCTCATGGTTAAGACTCCTAGAGCTGGACAAAAATTTTATGATTTATAAATTATCTAAGAACCTTGGTTTTATAGAAAATAAAAAGCTAACATCAACAACAAATTTTTTTGTATTTTTATTTGTGATTTTAAAATTTAGAGATCTTATATAGAGCAGTTTAGTTTTAAAAATTTTTTCCAGAATAAACTTTCTTTTTGATCTACCCAATTTAGTACCATACTTAAATTTCGATAGAAATATTTTAATACAATTGACAACAAACTATTGCATTTCTTTTTTTGAGTAAAATATGTGAAATGAGGCTCTAACAGATAGTATTGAGAACAGTTAAAAGGTTAGATTATTTTGCTGTGCTAAAACAGGTATTTTAAAACAATATAACACTTGTTAATCAACAGAAAAAAACATTTTTTATTAAAAAATTATCATAAACATTTTGAAGCTTATTTTAAATTCTTTATCCAATTTATATTTTGATAGCTTAATTTGCAAACAAGATAACTCAAGTAAAACAAACTGTGCAGGAGCAACATAAATGAATTTCATATGCCCATATATACACTTACATGGACTTTTATTGCTACTTTTTCGTATTTATGTATTTAAAATATTATTAAAACCAAAATGACGCATAAGAAGTAAGAAAACCTGTTACTGCAATAAAGTTGATTTTACAAAATCATAGAATTATCTTATTTAAAGATTAGGATATTATATAAATATATATATATATATATATATATATATATATATATATATATATATATATATATATATATATATATATATATATATATATATAAATATATATATATATATATATATATATATACATATATATATATATATATATATATGCATACCTGCTCCACATAAAGCTGATGGTCTCCTGCCTAAATGTATCCAATCTTTTTTCATTCGAGCTAGAATTCGGAGTGCAGCCATTGAAACTTCATTTTCTTTATCGCCAAAATCAAGTTGATGAGCAAATCGATGTATGTAGAGGCTGGGATCTATACATAATGAAACATTTAGAAGTATAATAAGAGGGTTATTAAATTGTATATTTGTTTCTTATGAAAATTAAAAATAATGTAAAACCCGATCTAATTTTAATCCAATAACAACTTACTAAGCTTGTAAAAAACTAGCATTAAAATCAATAACTTAATTAAACTTATTTTATCACAAAATATATCAAACATGTTACCCAGCAAGCAAACAACATCATATCAATGTCTAAGCAAGGTCGAAGTTTTTAATATCGAAACTTTCAACATCGCTTCCAGGTTGATTTATTGTTGATAAAGTAATGTTGAACAATACAACATCGTTTCAACATCTTACTGATGTAGAAAGTTTAGCGTCGAAATTTTCCACGTCACTTCCACGTTGATTTATAGTTGATAAACTAAAGGCAAGTTTCCACTCATCCGCTTTTTTACGGTAAAGGAAAAGGAAAGGTAAAAATACTATGAAAAATCAGGTACGAAAGGTAAAAATAATATGAGCATGCATAATAAAGGTTTTTATTTGTTTGAAGGAAAACATTGCATGCTCACATGATTATTTTTCATTCCCATAGAAAAACCGCTGAGTAGAAACTCTTCTTAAAGTTGATTTTTCAACGTTATAACGATGTATCTTTTTAATTTCTATCTGATATTGAGGCAGATTATTATAAGGTTTTTTAAAAATAAAAATGGCTAATCACCCAGCGAAAAGTGCTTTTTTTATTAGATTTTATTTAAAAGTGTTAGTATTTAAAAATTATTCATAACTTTCTATAATATTTTACTTGACATTTGTAAATAGCTATTTACAAGCTATCTTAAGTATATTTTAGATTTATGGATAAAAATTAATTAAAGTTTTTTTTTGGTTTATGATTTCATTTTTTATTTTGCTTTCAGAAAGTTGTAATACCTAAATGCAATTTTAATATTATTAGCAATAATTATTAAAGAGAATCCATGTTTTGTTATGTAAAATTGTTTAAAACAGTTTTTATTACAAACATACATATTTTTTTGTTTATAATCAAAGCTAAAAGTACTAGAAAAAGAATCAACCAATTAGTAAAATAAGAATTCATATTAATATATATATATATATATATATATATATATATATATATATATATATATATATATATATATATATATATATATATATATATATATATATATATATATTTATATATATATATATATTTATATATAAATATATATATACATACATATATATACATATATATACATGTATATATGTATACAGTGCTCAAAGAGAAGCGGGATGTAATCCGCCACCTTTTTATAAATCTCTATGTATAATCTCTTTTGTATGTTCATACTTATGTCAAATGAGAATGTTTTGCAAAAAGTTGTGGTGATTGGAGCTTGGGGACAAAAAAACCCAGATTTTTGGGCCCACCCAGCCCTTAAAGTGGGAGCAACAAGTTGATAAAAAATTTTTTTTAGTATTTTTATCTAAGATTATATTTATCAACAAATTTCAAATTTCATGCAATAACCTCTTAGTTTTTAGTTTTTATGACCCTACAAAGTTTACAGCCCCCTCAAATTGAGGGGGTTAAAACTTTATATGGTCATAATTTTCTAAAAATAAGAAATTATTGGATGAAATTTGAAATTTCTTGATGAATATAATCTTAGAAAAAAATACTAAAAAAAATATTTTATCAACTTGTTGCTCCCATGTTAAGGGCTGGGTGGGCCCGAAAATTGGGTTTTTTTTGTCCCCAAGCTCTAATCACCACAACTTTTTGCAAAACATTCTCATTTGACATAAGCATGAACATACAAAAGTTTGGAGTTTGCACAATGGGTGTAAGTGTTAAAACTCAAACATCTAAAAGTCCAGTGTACGCCAGTGTGTATATATGTATGTATATATGTGTATATATATAGGTATATATATATAGGTATATATATGTATATATATGTATATATATATATATATATATATATATATATATATATATATATATATATATATATATATATATATATATATATATATATATATATATATATATATATATGTATAGTTTAGCACTTATGGGGACAGATTTAAAAAAAAAAAAAACACTTAAAGGGACATTAGAATTATCGAGGACATTTTAGTGTAGTGACCCGATAATTTTTTGTCCCCGAAAGCATGATTTGTTTTGAAAAAAAATGTACCCATAAGAACCTTTTATAGAGAACAAAAAGTACATACATCGACTGACAAATAGCCTGACTTGCAAGGGAGTGTTGCTACATCTACTGAGGGTTTGGTTTGGCCAGGCATCAAGGTCAGGCTTAGGGTGTTTCTTATTTGGTGTTAAAAATTTTTTTTTTTTGTTTTTTAGTGGGCCACTGAAATTACTTATTACATGCTAAAAACATCTTATTTATTAAAAATATATACTTATTTATTAAAAAACAGCAATAAACATGCTTTTTTGATTATAGGTTTATTAAAGACAATAGTTACAGTACTAAGATTATTCGTTCATGAGAGCTTTTTTCTATTCAGATATTTCTGTCTATATTTTTGAACTACCAACAACAGGAACTACAATTGCTTTTCGTTATTTGTATGTATTTATACATCATCGTTATTTGTATGTATTTTTCTTCGTTATTTGTATCTATTATATTCGTCCATTAGTGCTACGCCATGATCTGCAATGTCGTTGGCAACTTTCATGTTTTGAACAGTGGACTTTACAGTCTTGAACTTATCATCGTGTTCCCATTCGCTACACTGTTTTGAAGAAATTGTGATAGAAATCCAGTGATGCTGAAAAATCTTTGTGTATTAAAAGTAACAAAGTCCTCCTGTTTCTTTTCTTGGATAACTGAGCAGTCCACAGCAGCCCGTTTCATAGGTATTTGATCTGAAACATTGTTCAATGCTTGACCTTCATCTCAGGGTGAACTTCATCATCAAAAAAAGCTAAAGCAACAAGTTCCTCTGATAGGTACCAGAGATGCCCTTGTAACTTCTTTGCAGCAATTTTTGAGATCTCAGGATGGTGGGTCTTGTAGGCATCCAAGTTTTCAAGAGCTGCAGGTCAAGTCTAGGAGCTGAGGTTGCTTCAGGAGGCAAATATCCTTTATTCCCTTCTCTCTTTTTGTCAACCTGAATTGGTGTCTAAACATCCAAATCTTTAACGCATAAATAGCTTTCGCCATCCAGTAAGCATGGTGTAGACCAACAGGAGCTCTAAATATTACTAAATGGTAAAGGTACTCCTCCCAAAAAAACAATAGACAACTCCAAAAGTTCTCGGTAGTCGTCACAAGGTTAAAAGATTTGTAGCTGATCTTTGTAAAAGACAATTCTTTCATCAGTGATATCAGTAAGAGCATTTAAAGCGTTCTTATCAGACTGTGCTGTGTGGTACTTTGTGGAATCAATTGAGACCCAACTTTTCTAAAATCTTTTAAAGAGAGGTATGTCAGGTCCACTTGAAGGGCCAAGACACAGCAAAACTACTGCTTCCAAAATAATTTCCAGAATGTGTTGACGACATGCCAACCACAACATATCTTTTCCAAGCTTCTGCTCTAGAAGAATGCAAGCCCCATTTCTTGGCCCAGTATTGGCTGCAGTAGTATCAAAGCACATGCACTTTACTTGATCGTTAATTCCCCATGCCACTGACACGTCATGCACTACAGATGCCACATTTTCACCTGTTCCTGATGGTAGTTTTGGGACACTAAGAAGCTGCTGCACTCCTACTCCAGATACTAGAATTGGATGTCAGTCAACAGTTTCTTTACCAATGATGTCAGCGAGTAATTTCCATCCTATTGAATACATAAAAGAACTTCTGGTTTGAATTTTCTTTAGGGTTATCTTCACCTTCAGATGATAATGAAAAAGCAACTGTTTCTTTTTGAGATTTTCTTGCCATTTCCTCTGGTCCCTTTTTTGGTTCATTTCTTTTTGTCTTTTTCTTGATACTTCTTCTTGCTTTGCCAATTTCTTATCGACTGGACTTATTTTGTCTCTCCGAATTTTCTCTTTTTGGCATAATAGAAAGTCCTTATCCTCCTGAATGGTGATCATTTTCAATGCGTTGGCATGGGCAATATTGAATAGTTCTTCTAACCCTTTATTCCATTGGTCTTCCTTTTGTTTCAAATAATCTGAACGCTAAGCTTTATTCTCTTTATTTTTCTTCAACTTTTCCCATTCCTTGTAGATGTTTTAGATTTTAGGGACAACATACTTCTTTAATTGCACATGTATTCTTTAACCAAACTTCAAAAACATCATTTGCTGTGGAATGTAATGCTTCTTTAATGCTTTGCTTAGCAATCTGCTTGTAACGAAAAAAAAGGTCTAACATTTGCTTTATTGATGGAAGCATAACACTATCTAAAGAAGAGGACGTCTAATAAGCCATATATCACTTTTCTTTCTGGTAGCTTATTTGTATTGTATGAACTATGTCTTTCTGTTTGTTAATGTCAGTATATCTTTTGCTTTTATTTTGCTCTTGTTTTGGTTTTTTAAACCTCTTTGTGTACTAAATGTAGTTTTTTAATTATGACTTTTCTTATTGATGTTGGAACTACAATGTTTCGCCTATTAAAGGTGCTTATGTTTATCAGCGCCAGTTCTTTTCTAAAACAATAAAATTTTAAAGAACCATTAACCATTTTTTCAAGGTCATTCATACAAGTATTTCGTCATTCTAAGATCATTCGTACAAGTAATTGTTTTAGTTTTAGACTTTATTAAGGCTGAACAACTTGCACAGAGCACATGAATTTGAGTAATCACTTATAAAAACTTATCAAAAGCAATAAATTAAACTGAAAAAGTGAGATTCAACATTAGTGCTCCACTTAGACATTGTCAAAATTCATCACATTATCAAAAATGGGGGGATTTTTTTGAATAATTTAATGAGATAAGAAAATTTGTTAAATTCTGAAACAACTTTTTTACTGCATTAATCAAAATTAAATGTAATTTGTTCGATTTACTCTTTATATAATTTATATTGGTCTAAATTGTTAGTTAGGTAAAAAAAGGTAAAGTTAAAAAAATGGGTGCATTTAGTTCAGTAGGAGTTTTGAGATTTTTAATAGTTAATATTAGATGCCACTTTAATATATAGGTAAGGACAGATTCTGCAAGGCTATTACTTTTAAAAGAACATTCAATTCCAAAGAGTTGTTGAAATAAAATTCTATTCAATTTAGACTACTATTAGGAATTTTTATAAACAAAAAAAAAAAAGGTTTTTGAGACAATTTTTTTTCTAAAAAATAAATCCATTAATATGGTTAAGAACTTCTAATTCATTAAACCGTAAATCTTGTAAATACTTGTAAATCTTAAAAATAAGTATTTAAAAAAACAACGTTTATAAATAATATTTTGTATATGTATCATGTGTAACTTTACAATTTTGATTATGTATCATGTGTAACAAGTATCATACTCACAAAGAGTAAAATACAAAGTTCTTTAAACAACTTAAATAAAGTGTAATGTAAGTTTTTTTAAATTAAGTCTTGCATAACTTGATTAATAAAAATAAATGTAAAAGACCTTTTCTATTCACAGAGTTTCAAGGTAAGGTTTTTGAACAAGAATTTTGGTAAATTTTGTATTGTTATTTCTCTAACATCTTGTATTTTTCATAATATTAAACTTGCTTATGGAAACATTTAAGCTGGTGTATCACATGTTCAAAATGGTTTATTTTCCTTATCATTTTTTTTATGTTTCATCACCAGCAATTTGATCTTTTGTAATAATATTAATTCTGAACTTTTTTTTGTAAAATTGTTTTTTTTGAAACTTAAAAAAAAGCTATTCCAGTATTCCAGTATAGTATAAATCAAAAACATATGAAAAAAGATTTACAGTTTTAAGAACCAATTGTTAACAAAAAACTACAAAAACTTAAAAAACTTTACAAAGATTAAAAACTATTAAAAATTGAAAGTGAAACATTTGAATTAAAAAAATAAATCCATTAAATTTATTTCAATTATTTGAATAATTTATTTTACTTGTTTGAAAAAAATTAACATTTTTTTCAATTAAATAGAATACAATTCTTAAATTTAAATCTATTTTTCAAAAGCTACTTATAGACATAATTCACAGGTGTAAATATTTTTTTAAATTATTTACAAGAATCTTTTTAATTAATGTTGTCATTGCTCATATTAAAATTGCTTTAAAATCACATTGAAATAAAAAAAATTATAAATTTCAACATATTTAACGAAATTTCTCACCAACAATAGGGCAGTCGATACAAAGAGTTCTTGCAAGAGCTAAAAAAACTCGACCCAAAACAACGATATCACACTTAATTAAGAAAAAAAGTTTTATTATTAAATTATTGTTTCAAATATAATCCAGCAGTAGACATTATGTATAAATAATTATTAACAATTACCACTATTTTTTTAATTTCATAAATTATAAATACACTAAAAAACATTTTTTTTATAAAATTGAGTAAAATGGAAAAATATTTTTACCTGAATTGCATCACAAATATCAAGCAACATGTCTATTTAGAGTTAAGAACAATTTTGTCATCTAAAATTTTTTTAAATCAAAATGGAAACTATTGAACATTTTTTAATATGACCTCAATGCTATAAATTTTTCAAACTCTGCTAAAAAATAATAATAAAGCATTACAATATAGACAGTAAATCAATTATATATTAACCCTTTATTTCCCAGTGATGCCATATGGCGTCATTGACTTAACATAGCAAAAATTGGTAGTATGCTAACTATGTGAAGGAAGTAACTGTGTTTGCAAAAATTGTGTGAAAACACTACTTTTGCTCATAAGCACAAAGGTTTCCCCCACATGGTTAGCATAATGCCTATTTTTTCTGCATAATGTCAATGACGCCTATGATGTCACTGGGAAACAAAGGGTTAAGAGATATATTCTGAAATAAACTCTGAGAGTTACATAAGGAAATAAGTCTAAAAAGATACGTGGAGTTTTCTCTGTCCTTGATACCAAATACAAACAGGCTCCAACAACATATATTGTTTTGCGCCCAACTGTAAATCGCTTACTAGCAGCCATTTTAAAAAACATATATGCTGAATCAAGACAATGGTGACTCATTTTAATTTGTCCTCCATAATTATTAATTAATTGTTTGCCTAATAAAAAAAAGTATACCTTACTATTTTTATGTAGTAAGTATTTGAAATGTTTAAGAAAAAAGTTCTTTTTTTTGATCCTTTCATATTTTGCAATTTACATTATTGACATTTAGCATTATCTATATTTCTTTATCATAATGAATAAAATATTTGACTTATTTTAGGAAATGAATTAAAAATTAGAATTAAAAAAACCATTTTCAAGAGCAACTTGTCTGTGATCTTGTCCAACACCAAATTTGCTGTAAGATCCTACACGATTTTGACCTAAAAACATCAACCGATTTCTTAAAATTATAATCTAAAATTACAATCAAATTTACTATAAAACAATTTTAACCTGAAAATAAAATCAGATGATTAATATAGATTCTAATAATTATGCTTTCAAAAGTTTGCTACTTGAAATAATTTATTTACAATAAAAGTTAACTCCATTTTGAACTAGTTTCAAAATAACTTCAAAATAATAAGCACTATGTCTGTCAAAATAATATGTCTGTCAAAATAATAAGCACTATGTCTGTCAAAATAATAAGCACTATGCACTGTGTCTGTCAATTTACTTAAAAGCTCTGTTTGAATTTACTATTTAGTTAGAGTATTAAAAATCATTCATTTTACTGTCAAAGAAATATTTAATAAAAATACATGCATCAACAATATTTTATTGACTATTAGTGAGAAATGATTTAAACTTTTAACAAATTGTCATCAGTTTGATTATCAATCAACCAGAGTGGAAAGAAGGCGGCATGGTAAATTGGTGCTGATAAATGAACTGTTAAAATCACATTGTTAAAACTTCGAAAAATCTCTATTCACCACTGCACAACAACTGACGAATAACTATTTGAACTTCGTGATGATGATGCTCATTCATATAAACCATCAAAACCGGATGAATAAAATATAAATCCATTGTTTTTTTATTGAAAATCATAGACAAAGATTATGCTTTTCTCTATTTCTGGTGCTAAAAAAGCTGCTATCAAAAATATTATAACAGTTAAAACATTAAAAAAAATCAACCCAGTTTTTTTTGTGTGCAGCAGCAAAAAAACAACCTTTGTGCACTAACTGAAAAAAAAATGATTTCAATACCAAGAAGCGAACCTGGAACAGTTGGTTTACAAGCCAGAGGTAGAATCCACTTGACCACGCTTACATTGATTGTACGTTATTTTTCCATGTATAATATATTATCATTTATTATATTTATAATATTTTGCATGTATTATATATCGGAAGAATAGATTTTGTTAATTTATACAATTTTACACAAAACTATTAGGGGAACTCAAAGAAGCTCAGAGAATCATTGACATTATTTTATTTAAAATCGTTTTATATTTTGTAAAATATTGCACCCCCCTCTCTCTTCCCTAAAAAAAATCAAAATTTTTTAGGGGAGGGGGTACAAAATTGTTATGTAATATTAGAGGGGGGGGGGGGGGGGGAAGTCAATAAAGTGTTATGGATGCATTACGAGGAGAGAGGAGGGAAATCAAAAATTGTCAAAAACTGCGTGACGTAATTTATGGAGGACCCCATAGACAAACTTATTTAAAGATTTTAGCTTTTGACCAGGCCACTGCAAATCAGAAATTTTAACATCAAATCAAGTCTTGAATGAAGCCACTTATATATTTGCAAATCAAATCAAATCTTAAAATAGTTTTTTTCCCAGTTTCTGATGCTTATAAAAACTTAGAACTTATAAAAAAGAAGATGCCACAAACCCCATTTATTAATAACTTAGTGTAGTATAGTATTCGTTGTCATCATAAAGTAGTTTATGTTACATTTACATTTTGCAGAAACCACATGTGCAGCCCTCGGAATTAGGGTTGGCATTCGGTAATGCCAACCTAATTCTTTTGAGGTCGGCAAAATCTCATTTCTATGTTTTATGGTAAGACCTTTGTTCATCTCGTTTCTATGTTTATGGTAAGACCTTTGTACCAACTTTTTTTTGCCGACCTCTAAAAGATTGTGGTCAGCAAATTTTTGATGAGCTCATTTTTCTTAAATCCAAGAGTTGCATGTGTTTTTATGAAACTATCTTGATTTGAAGAAATGGAATTTTTCAAATCAAATCTTTAATCACTTTTCTTATTTAATTTTCAATTTGCAGGACCCTACTTATGACTTATAAAATCTCACTTTAAGATTAAATTTTTACATAAAACCTTGCTGATGTTTTACCAAGTAAGTATTGGTGTTGTATTAGAAAAAATATTAAACAAAAAATAAATAAATAAAAGTAAAAACCAAACTTAAAAAAAAAAAATTAAAAAAAAAAGGTTTAAATTTAATTTTCATTTGCAATCATTTTTAAAGTTTTAGGAAATTAATTTCTACTCAATTGATAATCAGCAGTATAGTAACTTCTAATATTATAGTTAACTTCTTTATTTATTTTAGTGACATGCCCAATTTTACATTATTCTATAATTACTTGCATATTTCAATCTTTGCACCACTTAACAATAGAATTTATATGATCATGTAGATTGTTAAAATTATTTCATATTATTTGAAAAACTTAAACTATGTTAAAATGTCTAAACTTTTAGGCTTATTTGTTAAGAAGGATTTACATGGTAAAAAACCATGCCAATTCTTGTTTATCAAACTATTATTTAAAAGATGGCAAATAATTTTTTTAAGAATCCTTTCTAAAACTTTACAAACAATAGATATAAGAGACAAAGGTCTATAGTTAGAAGAATCAAGTATGTTGTCATTTATAAAAATGGGAACCATGTTTGAATCTTTTATTAGTACCTTTATAGATTAAAGGAATAATTTTAAAATGTATGCACTAGCAGAACTTGAACTTTCAGAAAAAATATTTAGTACGCATGGATAAATTCCAACATTGCCAAAAGATTTACTTTTATCCAATGTTTTTAATTTAAAAATAACTATTTAAATTGTCTCTTTTACTTAAATGATTTTCACAGTAAACTGAAGTAACTTGATCAAAATTTGGTAAACTTTTTTTTTTTGCCTTAAATATACACCAATTGAAAAAAGATGTTCAACAAATTAGAAATATCAAGAAAATACTCACTAATTTTTACTATTTGGTTAACCTTAAACCTTGGTAAAAGTTAACCATAAAGTTTGAATTCTTTCATAATACTTTTGTTTACTATTCAGTTCTGCGTAAAATTTGCTAGAAACAGTTTTTATAATATTAGCTAAGCCATACCCTATATTTTAAAAGGCTTTATTAATAGGATTTCAAGGCTTCATTTTGATATGTATATATTTTACTAATACTTCATGAGTATTTCTGTTTGGTGATATAATCTTTAACCATAATTATTTTTTCATTGTTTAATTTTCGATGTAATCCAACCTTGTCTCGATTGAATATATTTTAAAGTTTGTAGGATATACTTATCACAAGCCAATGTATATTTCTAAAAATCATATATAATATATTTCTAAAAATCATAACAACTATTATTATTTAGATCGCTGAATAATGCTTTTTAATTGATTGAATTAAAATATTTTATCATGTTAACATCGTCGCCTATGTTGAACAAATGCCTTGAAGGAAGTTTTTGTTCACATTGTTGGTGTTTACTGAATACTTCCGACTTAAAATGGCATGCACATGGCGGATATTGCCGAGAGGCGGATTGGATGTAAGCTTGGAAATACAATTTGAAAATTCTGTAAATATCAAGTACTCTGGAAGATTCTTTATCTGAATTTTAAAAACTTGGAAATTATATTTTGTGACAAAAAGCAATTATTCAATCAATTAAAATGTTTTTGTAAAATTAAACTCAGAACCATTTTGATCTGATCTTGTAACGATATTGTTGTCATCATTCCATTTTATATTTGGAAAATGAAAATTACCAAAAAACCCATATATGAACCAGGGCCATAAATGCGTTTTGAAGTCAGAATTGCATTATTTAGGTCTTCGTTATTTGAAAAAATCAGGAATCTGTAGACGCATTAAATTTAAAATTTCTTGTCTATTTTTGAGTCAACATCATATTTATTCAATCTTTAGAGAATAAAATTTTGTTAAAGTAACTTCAAAAGTTATTAGATCTTTTTGTGTGATACACCTTCACCTCTATTAATTCAGTCTTTTCTTAAAATATTAAAATTAAAGGTTTGTCACAAAGTTTGTATCAAACCATGCCACAGCAAAATACAAATAACAATTTGATTAAAAATTTTGGATAATGTTTTGATCGGGTATATAAAGTTTAAAGCATTCTAAAATCGCGCAAAAAAATTAAAATTGTTTAAGGTTTTAGACTAACACTTTTCTTTTTAAATCTTCTCACAAATGTCGATGAACATGGTTTTATGATTTTAGTAAATACACTTTTTATGATATTTTATACTCTTTTAGGACTTTTATCACAACCTCGAGCATGTTTTCTAAGTCTGTCGTTGCATCTAATTTTTAAACACAATGTATAATTATATTAGCCTCTTTTCATTCCTTTTATTTGAAAACTTTTGCATTTAAATTGATAAATTGTGACACGCCAGAATCTCCCTTAATCCATTGATTAACATCTTCAAAAATGTTGAAAATGATTCAGCTTTCCAGACCAACAAAGTTAGGAAGTGTCAGATTACTGTCCTTATTCAGAACATTTGTGGATCCGCGTCTAAATATCTCTGGTTTATAATTGATGAGCAAATTTTTTATCATTTCTACCTTATTGATATCGGACAGAACTCTGTTTGCTAATGCAAGAACAACTATTTGTTCTTCTTAAAGGGACCACCAAGTCCCAAGACATGTTGTGTTCATATTAAAGAGAATGTTAAAAAATGTCTGAGCAAATTTTTTTTGATTAAAACTCATTAATAAATGTATACAAAGAAAAACAAACCTTGTTGTTTTAGTCGAAGCGAGTCTTTAAAATAAATGCAATTTTCCAGACATATTATACAGACTTGATAATTTATTCAACTGCGTTTAATTCAAAGGAGTTATAGTACATGATGTCATAGATTTTTTGTTTGTTTAAAACGACAGATTATTATTTTTTACATACAATTTCCAAATCATATTCATTTTTATTATATTTTAAAGTTCTAATCTGTGTTTGTAAAAAAAATTAAAAACAAAATAGTATTTTCTTTTCTTTTATTTTTTAACTTTTTTTAAATATCGTCTAGACCACATGTATTTTGATTTTTTTTGTTGTAAGTTTTTCTTTCAAAAAATAAGATAAAATAATTTTTAACATAAAATAATAATGCACTTT